GGCGCCTGTCGCCGTCGACTCGGTGTGGGGATTGGAAAAATCGGTGAGTGGGCTTTGTAAATAATTATTAGCATAAATTATTATGGCCACATAATTAAACATAATTAAGGAAGCTAATCTCCACGCAGATACCTAACCACAACATTAATAATTCCAGTTCCATATCAGTCCATCTGATTGTTTTAGAATAATAATAAAAAATGTGACACGATTCTTCAAATCCGCGTATGAGTCAACCATATGACTCCGTCTCGAAGCTTCTTTCTAACTATGGCCCTATGGTTACAAATTTTTTTTACCCATTTAAAAATATAAAATATCATCAATTAATATACCTCTTTCTACAAAAACGCGTGTTAATAATTTCTAGATATTTTATAAATTGGACTGACCCACATATAAAATTAGGGAAAATTTTACTCGTTTGGCACACATCGGTCATTTACTAATCGTGGTTAACGAATTGTAATCTATATAAAGCCCATTCAGATAAGTCCCTAACTAATGGGCTTAATCTTATAGGCCTATTTTTAATTAATGGGCCGTAATGCTTTTGGGCCTTAACAACCTATTTCTGTAGTACGAGGCCCACGAAGCTGGACAAAGACAGATGTTTCGATGTTCCAGACCCAGAAGAAACATCCACAACGGAGAAACCTTGTCATGCAAGTAACCAACCCAATGGAATGATGCAGACGAGAGAGAAGAACATGGTTGCATAATCTAGAAAAAAACATCAAGAATCGATTTCTGGCATCAGAATTTAAAAATAAAAAAAAATTCACGTTGGCATCAATGTATTAGGTGGAACCAATAACGACTGAGATAAAGGAACCATACTAGCAAGTTTGATGATAAACACAAGAGAACCTAAGAGACAAGAGTGAGTTGTTCCCGTGATGACTAGAGAATGTAGTCCCTAATACAGAAACGATTCACTACACTACCACTGTCATATGCACTTACAAGGAGAAACGGAAGAAGAAGGCTACAGCATCTTACCCAGCTTTTCACATTCATAGATGCAACTATCTATCACAGAAGAGGGCGCCGCCATGTATTATCCATCCTCATGACAGAAGCCCGGTCCCTACTCCTGTCCCTGAATTCAAGGAATCGATAATTCAAGCAGCAATTGCTCAGGAAGATGAAGAAGAGAGCTACTTTTGTGTCAAAACACAAGTGGATGATGAAAACCATTACTCCTTAAAACATCCAAGAACTAGTGTCCTACCATAAGAACCCTGCTTTCACTAGGTCCATACACCTCGTCTCTAGCTATTAGGCAAGACCCACGTTTTAAAAACGTGGCTTGCAAAAGGAAGGGTGCCTTATTGGCTTATCAGCAGCAGCAATAAACCAGTTCCATACTTGGTTGACACGAGACCATATCACCCACCCATTCTTACCTGATCCCTTTTTTACGACATGGTTCTTTGCATGGATTTTTGAGTCTTGCACCAATTGTAGAACCCAGTAATTCACATCAGGCCCTATACCAATCTTAACAAGTTCAGTCTTAAAGATTGATTTATAAGACGTGAGTGCCCATTGATTTGTGAGCATTTGGTTTATATAAGGCCTCCCTTTAACACTAGTTGAACTGAGTATCTTATACAGCTGTGATTGCTGCACCACCATTTCATGGATTCCTTTAATGCCCTCCACCTAATAATTCGGTTATCCGACCAATTTTGTTTACATAGTTCCAATTATGTATATACACTTATTGGAAAAATGATGGAAACAGATGAATCAAGATTCGAAGAGATAAATGGAATGAATCATGTGTAACTCACACGAGCGGTTCGTCCACAAGCCTCCTGACGCCTCATCTCAACCCGAAACTTATCTTTAATATTCACCTGTGGAGATATGCATCTAATTAGAAACATAATCGAGTAAGATTATCTCTAAGAAAAAGATTACACATTGGAGAACCAAGTATCCTTACGTACATTAGTTCTATGGGCTAGAATTGGATTCTCTTCCTTTATCAACTTCCATTGGGGACCATGACTGCAGTGGGAAATATATACATAAGTATCAATTTATGATAAGATGTTTCAATGAAAATATTGAAGTACATTTCATAGCCTCTTAATATGGCCTGTGTTTCTGCAGTTGTCCAGCCGATTTTCATCTTTCTAGGACCTTTTGAAGCTCCATCCTTTCTCAGCGGAGACATCGCCATTTTTTTACGTTTTGAAATGTTAGCCTTTCCACCATCACCATTTGATTCTTCAGTTGAATCATCGATGGAGTCTTCCCACTAATTAAACAAACAATAAGAATATCGAACAACCTTAGAACATGATGAAGGAACAACAAACGAAATGAAGCAAGATTGTTGGCTAAAAGCCTAAAACAAACAAAAGAACAGAATGAATGAAGAGCGAGACTGGGGCTTCAACTCCTCAATCTGTGGTCTCATTCCATCAGACCAATCAAATATGTGTGTTAGAATGAACCAATGTAAGAAGAAAGGTACCTCATAAGTCTGTGCTTTGCTACTGCGTGCCATCAAGGTAGGCTTTGGGGCATCTTCATGGGAAGAAAGATTAGCCTTAGCCATAACAAGATTCTCCTTCTTACTCACATCATTCAAGCCAGAAGCTTTGGCTTTTTCCAAAGCTTTCACCATGTCTTGCTTACTGGCTTTCAGATCTTTGAATACTCTATCAAAAACCGGCGTAGGGATGGGCTTGATCGGAGGACGGGAATGTTCGGCGACCAAGACCAACTCCCCATCATTCGAAATGATGAACTGTTCATAGTCAGGTATAAGTTCTGGCAATGCATTCACCAGAACAATTTCTGTGACAGGGTTTTTAAATATCGATCAAATCTCAGCTCAAATTTCACCATTTTTCTACATGCATTCAACATCCAATGCATAGCAAACCCGGAATCTACAAACCATTATCAACTAAGAGTTGTAATACCTTTGCCTTTGCCGTCATCTTGTGAAGAACTTGACCTATTACCACTGGCCTCTGCCTCTCCTGCTTCATCCGGAGACTCCTCATGTTCAGAAGCGCCCGTTTCCCGATGTAGCTCAGAGAAAAGCTTCTTCAAGGAAACCAAGGGTTTGTTCTTCGCACGGTATTCTATCAGCGTATCGCAAACCTTTTCGTCGGTAAGGGCCAGTTTCAGTCTTCGGCAGTCGTCCCTGAGCTCACGAGTGACCAGACTACTACTTTTATCGCAGAGCGCCATTACCCTCTTCGTCCATATTCTTCTGATCGCTTCGATTAGACTTCTTTTCATATCTACCCCATAAAGGAGACATCTCACCGTGCACTCCATTGCAACTTGGCGGTATGCTTCTTTCAGTGATTCGGGAATTTCCGTACCTTCTTCGCGTAGAATCTCCTCCAGAATCTCCAAGCGTTCGAGATTCTCCTCTTCGACAAGGCCGTTCTCTAATTCCTTCGAAATCTCGCGGAGAATAGCATTCTTCCTGCGCGAGAGCCCCATTTCCAAACCTAGCCGCTAGATTCAACGTGAGATTGAACACGATTTTCCAGAAAATATCAGAATTCCGAAGCCTTCGATTTCGCGATTCGAAAGGATTTACGGAGAAACTAATTCCTGGAAATCGAACCCCTTAGAATTTTCAAATTTCCAGTTCTCCGACTCTGAGATTGGGAGGGAGGGAGGGAGGCAGGGGGCTTGCCGCTTTGGCTTCGCCAGTTCCTTTTTACGAAATAACAAAACGCGCCGTTTTAGTTCATTAGAAACGGCTTACACTTCATGTGTTCTACTATAAAAACGTGATGTTGTTTACGTTTACTAACATTATTATTAATCGGCTTTCAAATCATCGTTCGTCCTAGTTCTATTAGACGCTTTGTATTAAAAAAAAAAATACATAAAAGGGATCTGCAGGTAAATTCATTTTGTTACAGAGATTAATAAATTACACAAATTTCTCCGCGTTTGCGTTTACAGACACATCAAAATTTCTGTAACCGCATGGGTTAAAAAGTTAAAAAAAAATTACGTAGGTAGCGTGACGTACCACCAAAGGACCAACCTTTTGTTTAGTTTAGTAACTAATCTCACTTTTAAGTACACTACGTTTCCATTTATTTATTTATTTACGTTCCTCTTTTGCACCTACTTGTCTACTTCTACGTTATTTTTTGGGCCATCTTAAATTTGTGGGCCAATTAACGTACTACGAGAAAGAGCTACTAATCTTAAATCAAGACATAATCAAATTTCGATTTAACCGGTCGATCTAAATTCCAAAAATCGAACCCGGTTTAGGTGAAAATAGCTACCTACCTGAATCTTTCCATCATGTGTCTACGTTTTTAGCCCCCCCCCCTCTACGACGTAGAAAGCGAAAACTATCGTTTTCTTTGCGTTTCCTCTCTCTCACTATTTCTCCTGTACGGCGATTGATTGAGTGCTGATCTTCAAAATTGCATACAGAAATAGGCTCCTCTTCATTCGACGAGATCTCTTCTTCTCCCTCGGAGCTTGAGGTATCTGCTTCTCCGGAGTTTTCTTTCTTCATTTGGTGGCGTTGTTTCGATTTTTTCCCTCTTTCATTCCAAACTGCAGATCTAGGAATCTATAGCTTCTGGATGTTGTTGAATCTTTGTTTTTATCCGGATTTTGCAACGTTTGCCTTCGTTTATTTCGTTTTGACGTGTTCTACATCGCCATTGCTACAGTCAAGCTGCTTCAGGCTTTGATTCTCTCGCATTTCGTATCGGTTCCCGCGAATGAGGTTCGTTTCTCCAGATCGTTGTTGTTTTCTGTACGTTTTTTTTTCCCTTGGATTTGTCTATGTGCTTCCGTGTGATTCGGAGCTTATGCAGATGTTTGTGACGGCAGACAGATAATCGTAGATCGTGATTGAAACGGGGAGAGATAAGAGGAAGAAGATGAGTGAGGGGCAGAAGTTCCAGCTTGGAACCATCGGTGCTTTGAGTTTGTCAGTTGTGTCGTCTGTGTCGATCGTCATCTGTAACAAGGCGCTTATTAGCACCCTCGGTTTCACCTTTGGTAAGCTGCTCTCTTCTTTCTCACAGAGTTTCAGGTGTTGGACTCTCTTTTGGCTATCCATGGTTATGTAGAAAGCATTTTCGCCGTGATCTATTTGCCTACTTATGTGGTAATGCTTGTTCTGCTCGGTTCATGTTGGCATCTTGTTTATCTTAGATGCTCTGATGAATTTGACCCTACAAGAATTGCTTTTCATAATTTATCTGAAACGCTTGAAGAAATATATCTATAACAGCTTGGTAAAAGTATGAAATTTTAGATGTCTGAATGACTTGGAATGATACTTGTGGTCCCCATCTTTCATACTTAACGATGCTTCCCAATGGTAAGATTCCTTGCACAGATGCACTTAGTGGGCAGGATGCTGTTAACATCCTATTCCGGAGCTTAGTTTATCGTTTTATACAAGTGATCTCTTTATCCATTTCTGCTAACTTTATTTTTTGAAAGCACAGCGACCACTTTGACAAGCTGGCATCTTTTGGTCACATTTTGTTCTCTTCATGTGGCACTATGGATGAAGTTCTTTGAACACAAGCCTTTTGATCCACGAGCTGTAATGGGATTTGGCATATTAAATGGGATATCCATTGGACTGTTGAACCTTAGCTTGGGTTTTAATTCCGTTGGTTTCTACCAGGTATAGCTTTGTTATTCCAGCTGCTGCCTGATGTGATATCCTTTCGCGATGTTCTGAGCACATCTTCTCTCTTCTGAATATCAGATGACAAAACTGGCCATCATCCCTTGTACTGTTCTCTTGGAGACACTCTTCTTCAGAAAGAAATTCAGGTTAGTACCTGTTGTGTCCACTTAGCATGCATAATGTATGTCCGCTTCATTCATTTGCCCGATATCTGTAATCTTAGAGGTAGCTATTTGTAATTAGTTCCACTTGAGGATTTCTTGCTATAAGGTTCCTGCATATCATCTGTTCCATAGTGTAAACGCTCCACTTTGTTTATCTTTACGCTGACCACGCCCTGCTGCCAGACTAAACCCCAACTTCAAATGCGGTTTAATATGGAATATCTGAGAAACTTAGAATCGTTCTTATAATGTTTTCTGTAACCCTTTACGGTTTCTTTTAGTTATTCTTCCTCGGAAATTTTCATGGTGCCGCAGCTTTCTTCAAGCTCTTTTTTCATCAACACATTGTCTAAGATACTCTTACTTTCTATGTTATTCTTGTAAAATGATGCTTTTTGTTTCATCTGCAGTCGAAAAATCCAGTTTTCTTTATCTATCCTTCTCCTTGGTGTCGGAATAGCAACAGTGACAGATCTTCAGCTTAATGTACTGGGCTCCGTCTTGTCGCTGCTGGCTGTCCTCACTACGTGTGTGGCCCAAATAGTATCCTAAGCTTAGCTTCTCTTTCCCATTTCTTTATATATTTTTTTGCCTTTCTATTATATGTCTTATCTTACCAAGTACGTTGGCTTGTTGCACTATCAGCACTTTTCTGTTCCTTTGTTACCTTAACCAAATCTATGCAGATGACCAATACCATCCAGAAGAAATTTAAGGTTTCTTCCACCCAACTTCTGTATCAGTCTTGCCCGTACCAAGCAATCACGCTTTTCATCGTTGGCCCATTTTTGGATGGGCTCCTGACCAACCAGAACGTGTTTGCTTTCAAGTACACCTCTCAAGTCCTGGTGAGAAATCAATTGACTCAGTTGGGCAGCACCTGCTCTGGACTTTCTTCGCCTTTTTCTCATTCATGTATTGAAACATTCTTCTATGGCTGCAGTTCTTCATTGTCCTGTCCTGCCTCATATCTGTTAGCGTGAACTTCAGCACATTTCTGGTCATAGGAAAGACATCTCCAGTGACCTATCAGGTCCTGGGACATCTGAAAACATGCCTAGTTTTAGCTTTTGGCTATGTTTTGTTACGTGACCCGTTCAGCTGGCGCAACATTCTCGGCATACTGATAGCTGTGGTTGGAATGGTTCTCTATTCATATTACTGCACACTGGAGACCCAGCAGAAGGCCAGCGAAGCATCAACCCAGCTGCCCCAGGTAAATCTCATCTCTCTCTCTCTCTCTCTCTCTCTCTCTCTCTCTCGCCAATATCAATCACTTGTCCAGAATTAAGTAGCAGCGTTACAAGATGGTATGTCTCTGCATTGGTAGCGAGTTCTTGTTCCAATCTATGGAACAATCTAATAAGGTTATTTTGCTTTCTGTTCACATACGATGAATACTAAACCGGTTGCTACTTCCCTTCCATTTGGAAAACGACGAAGGAAAGCGAGAGTGATCCACTGATAACAGCGGAAAACGGGAGTGGAATGTTGTCAGAGGGTGTCGCGGCAAAGAACCCGTGGAACTCTAACAAAGATCTGGAAGCGTAGAGCCGAATTTCGTACAGCGCCCGTACCAGAGATTCTTGGATTATCTGCGGTGGCAGAAAATAGTCTTTGTTTTTTTTACGAGGTAAAAACCTTTATACAACACTTATATGTTTTGCGCTAATGGAAGAGCAAGCGGTAAGGGAGTATGGAAAATGATAGACACAAGGAAAAGGATAGGCCAAGTTTTGGGTTCCTTCGTAAAGTTCTTCTAGTATATATATATATATACATGTGTGTGTGTGAAATGGGCTTCATACGAGGAGGACCCCTTTAGCATTTAATCAGTCTCTCTTGATTATCACCATTTCGCTCTCTTAGTCTCTTAAATTACTAAATAATAATAATATAAAAAAGATGGGATTATATATAAAACCCAATCCGTACAACCTCAAGAACAAAAACTGTGAATCTTCTTCCCTTCTTTTGATATCCTCAGTGAACAAAAATAGTAGACACAAAAGTAACAGAGACTAGACCCTTTGTCATTCGCTCCTTCTATTTGTCTTTCATTTTGTGTTTTCTCATGTCCTAAAGTAGCATCTCTTCTCCTCTGTTGTTGTAAGGATCGCTGTTCAGATCTATCCCTACTGTCTCCCCGTTATTATCGTTAATGTCGTGGTTCTCCTCAGCCCCTCCTTCACGTTCCAACTGTTTCTTCCTCTTCCTCAGCATAAGTGTCCTGAACCTCCTCTTGACCGCCACACACACGTTACAGCTGCAGCCCGGCTCGTGCCTCCCTCTCCCACTCGGCGGCTGGATGCACACTATGCAACTGCACCCCGGCCTGTGCCTTGGATGTCTGGTCGTGGCCGCCACCTCCTCCTCCTCCTCCGGGCCATCTCCGTTTTCACCTGAGCTGTCTCCTTTGACCACTCCTCCGGCCACCTCATCCATACCCGACCCTTCTTCTTGCTCTGTCCCTTCTTTCCAGCTTTCCCCAGTTCTCTGCTTCTTGGACTCTGTCGCAGTACAACATTATGAGGATCACAACTGAGAGTGTAGATCACAAGCTAACATCTGAAAAGGAAAGTTATTTAAAAAAAAGGTGGTGGGCTGTTCATATTCATACCCGTCCCTAGTCTGAGAAAACTGTCCAGTTCGTTTAGATTCTCCTCCGCCGCAGAACATAAACACCTGCCGACATATGTCAGCATGTGAATATAAATCATATCCCAGAAGTGATCGAATTTTTTCAAGTGTCCTTCAACTCGAAAGGACTACTTCACCTGCCCACGTCCCAGACATTGTATGAACATGTCCACCTCGAAGGAAGAAGGGCATCTACCGGTAACCTTCTCCATTTAGAGCAATTGTCACACTGTGCCCATTGTTCATGTCCACTGCACCAGAAATATGCTCATCCGTACAGTTCAGGCACGCTAGTGATGGAAGACGATATGCAAGCACGAGAATATATCTTCGAGGAGGAAAAGAAATTACCCAGAAGGCCGTGAAGTGAATACCGTCTTCTTCCCAAAGACAGGGGGTTCCTGTATGTATCACATGGAATATAATACCTATCACTAAACTGTCACACTCCACTATATATATATATAGTTAAATCACCAGAAACTCGTTGTTAAAAAGGCAAGAAAGATACATCACTTACATCATATTCTTCAAATCGGTGCTCCTCAACGGTGACGATGGTAGGATTTGCGGTGGGAGGGGGACAAAGCAAATCTTGAGCTTCTTCCCATGTGAGCCTCAGCTCCATAGCTTCTTCATTAAGCAAAAGCAATCTCTTATTTTTCGTCCCGATGTTTCGAGTCCATTTCTCCTCTTTGATCCTCGATGACTCGTCGTCGGCTATCCCTCTTCCGTTACTCTCTCTTTTCTGCAAGATGATCATATGTTCAGGAAGACCTTCCACTTCTTCCGGCATTTGTAGTGGACACGAGGAACAGTTCATGGAGGACGGGATCTCTGTAACACCGGACCATGATGTATGTTTGAGACCAGAACCCTGCTTATAACTCCTTGTAAGAACACGAATCAAGAACAATGCCTTCTAAATCAAAATGCAAAAAAACAACTAAGGAAGGGTGAAACAAAGAGCCCGACCTGCTGCTCTCTACCACTAGCTGTCTTCCTGCAACCCATAACTAGTTTGCCGCCGGGATCTATCCGACTGAACGTTACTGCATTAGAAAGGATTAACCGTGAAGAGGGAGCCACTAGATTTTAGACACACATTACCCGTAAAAGAACTCAGAAAATTAACGTAAGCTTTAGTCGGTCCGATACACAAACATAAGCAAGATTTAGAAGGAAGGGTACCGGTATCCCCAGCTTTCAGTTTCATGGACTGCATGCAAGGGGTGACACCTTCTAAGACGTACATCCTACTGTTGTTGTTGGGCCAAAACCTGAACTGGAACGTCCATTCTTTGCCCTTCACATCCTGGATTTTCATACAAGTGCCTTCTGGTTGATCGATGGATGGGAAATATGCCTATGCAAACCATTCCATACACCTCTCAGATTGAAACTCACAAAAAATAGAAAAGGACAGCAGTCCAAATATGCCAAAGATATTACCTCGGCACATGCCTTTGGAAGAACTAGACGTCCGATGCGACCGGCATCGCTTGCGCTGAGAATCTTCTCAAAGAGAGGAACGATTTTCGAATTCAAGCTAACATCATTGTTAAGATGAACCATGGGTTTGTGTATAAATGGTCTTATTAGAACAATCTTTTCATGGAGCTCACAAAAAGGTCACCAAGGTAAGAAAGGATACTTCCCAGAGATCTGCTGGAGTTCTTGATCAGTAATTCTCGGGCAATAGCGAGAAAGCAAAAGGTTTCTCCCACGCCCTTCGGCAGGGGGGGTGGATCCAATTAGTATCCGGGATTTTCACGGGCTTCGGACAGGACCACGGGGGAGTCTTGGTCGAGGTTTCAGAGAACTAATGGTGAAAGCGACTTTGAATCCCAAGGAAGAAACTAGCGTTTGTCCGATCGGTGGCCTGGGGGGTGGATTTCACAGGATCTTGTCGTAGAGGAAAGACAAACCATTGATTTATACAACAGCGACATCACACACAAAAGCAATTTATCTATTTCATAATATAACACAACTATGGGATAAAATTACCAAATCAAAAGGACCTGGGTTTCATGACAATGGTGGAGTGGTTGAGGATGTGCATCTTTCCCTCGACGAACCCACTTGGGAAGGAGGATGGTCCAGAGGGAGTTACTGCCAAAGACATACTCAAAGACGGCTGCGAAAGCGGTTCTTGCATATCTCCGGTGTCCATAACAGACACAGTACTCCCTGGCTGAGTCATGAACTCATCTCTCTTGTCTCCGCCATGGATCATTTGAGGATCGCCTCTCTGTGTCCCAGACTGAGGCTGAGGAAAGAGGCTAGGTTCATTAGCCTCACTGTCATTGTCATTACCCAGAACCCCACTTTCGCCATTAAGGGTTTGTCTGTCGGCGACCATCATAGTCAATCTGCCAAGTAAGCCCTGGTTTTTGCTTCTCTCAGTCTGCAAAGCACCATTTCATAAACACGAAGACGAACAGTGGCTCATAAGGAGTTTTGTAAAGTATGGGAAGAATTGGAAATTTGATTATCTGCCCACCAAGCTACTGTTATGGCAGCAGTTAGTGCAGGAAGTGCAGCCGATTCCCCCAAAGTCGAGGAGATCAACCATGAGCTTGGAAGCGATGCATCCACAGTGAAGGAGCTGTCATGGCGCAAGAGAAATGCAGATCAGAGAAAGAGCATTGCAAGAACGTGGAATGAGGATGAGTCGAGAAACGTAACCTTATGGCACATATAGCATTCCCTCCAACCAGATTGCTCCTTATGGAACGTATCGCAGAAGAGTGAACTCTCGTAGGCGGATCTAAAGACATAAACCATTTCAACATCCAATCAGAGAGAGTCCGGGAAGGAACACGGGGCAGAACTCGGTTCTTTCCTCGGACAAGAACACCGACATCAAGAGAACAATCCAAGACCCCTGTTCTGTTGTAATGAATTCAACGGAAGAGGAATTAAGGAGAGGGGGAGAATACCCGCAACGAAAGCAGAGATCGGCGAAACCGCCAGTTCGAAGAGGCCAACCTTTCTTCCATTCGACGGTGGTGGTCGTCGCGCAGGACGCGTTCATGCAAATCTTTTGACCCATTTTGACTTGGCCCTTTGCGAAATCAGCAGCCACGACTTAGACTAACGCAGATGCGAAATCCGATTGAAGAAAACCCCAATCAGAGTAAAAACCCTAACGTCCCTCGGACCAGAAACCCAAATCGGAGGAGAAATCGACGTGAGTTGAAGCAGAGTCCACTCATGAACGTCCAGGACGTGGTCCAATCATAGCCCGCCGGGATCAACGAACCGAAACCTGGACTGTGACGGCCAAAAAACGGCGCTGAAAGAGTAGAGATTCGAGAGAGATTCGAGAGAGAGAGAGAGAGAGAGAGAGAGAGACCAGAGAGGCAGGGATGAAAGATTGACGAAGAAGAGAGGATATGTAAGAGGAAGGTGTGGCTATGGGTTTTATTTCCGACGCAGTGGCAAAGTATTTTATATACGTATGAGAGAGAGAGAGAGAGAGAGAGAGAGAGAGAGAGAGAGAATGCATGCAAAGGAGAACAGATGCATAAATGCATGCACGACACTTAGAAGACACGCCGCTTAACACAAAACAAAAAAAAAAAAAAACCACAACAGAAGAAGACTTTCGGTCCGTTCGGTTGTTTGTTTTTTTGTTCTGAAATCATATCGTAACGTACCATCTTCGAGGAATCTTGTAACTGTCCAGTGTCCACTTACACGTGTTGACCGCGCTTGACTTGCTGAATTTTATGCGCTGTATATTTCCTTATAATTGTATGCATTTTCTTGCCATATGGTAGCTTCGGTTTTTACCCTTTCTATATCTACAAAACCCATATAAGATTTCCATGCATATCTATCTATCAATCTATGATTTCAATTCAAAATTTGTAGGTTTGATTTCGAAAATAGAAAATAAAAAAATCCAAATTCATTGAGATATATCTGCCTATGCTGACTCAATATATATATATATGAATTAGTGAATAAGGATGAGGCGGGGGGAACTAGGGGTGGATCCAATTAGTATCCGGGATTTTCACGGGCTTCGGACAGGACCACGGGGGAGTCTTGGTCGAGGTTTCAGAGAACTAATGGTGAAAGCGACTTTGAATCCCAAGGAAGAAACTAGCGTTTGTCCGATCGGTGGCCTGGGGGGTGGATTTCACAGGATCTTGTCGTAGAGGAAAGACAAACCATTGATTTATACAACAGCGACATCACACACAAAAGCAATTTATCTATTTCATAATATAACACAACTATGGGATAAAATTACCAAATCAAAAGGACCTGGGTTTCATGACAATGGTGGAGTGGTTGAGGATGTGCAGGCTGAACTGCCCACCTTTCTCGGCGGTATCAACTTGAGATTTCCCCGGCGGAGGAAGCATCTCGAAGTTCTGAACAAGCCTTCCAATGGTGATTCCCAATATGGGCAGTGCCAATATGATTCCTGGACAGCTTCTACGCCCCACTCCGAACGGGATGTACCTGAAATCGTTCCCGTTCGCTTCCACCTGAGACTCTTCCTCCAAGAACCTCTCGGGTCTGAACTCGTCGGGTTTCTTCCAGTAGCTGGGATTGTTGGCCAGATACCAAGCATTGACGAGGATCTTGCTCTCCGCCACTGAGCTTGGCTTCGTGTAGATTCATGTGGGGCACGAGGAGAGGGATCGCCATTCTGTATCTCAGAGTCTCCTTGACCACGGCCTGGAGGTAGGGAAGCTTGTTGATGTCTGGCTCCGTTATCTGCACGCCTGGTCCAAGAACCGTGTCCAGTTCGTTCCTCAGCTTCCTCTGGATCTCCGGGTGGTTCACTAACTCCGCAATCCCCCACTCGATCGACCACAGCGTCGTCTCAATCGCTGTTCCATTGAATCAACGATCAGTACCAGGCCACTATTTGGTTACCACATTGCAAATTTTTCATGGCAATTCCTAATTTCCATGCGACTTTCCTTTAGGGTTCTAATCAGAATGGGCACTTTCAGAAAGCTCCAAATCGAATCTTACGGATAAAATACAGAAAAGCTAAAAATAGGAACAATGATTCCCCAAATCTATCAATTTCGGCATTTCATAAGTTACCCAAATTATCTCAATATTCCAAGTGTGGCCTGGAGAATGTTACCGGCGACGTTGATGTTCTCGACGATGTAAAGAACGTTGTCCTCGTTGATCTCTCCCTTCTGCTGTGCATCCAAGATGTGATCGATGGCGCATTTCAATCCTTCGTTGGATGCAGCCTTGGTGCTCGCAATTTGCCTGAGTAAATTCCACGACTCAATTCCGAAATCCCATCGACAAATTTGATACAGAGAAATCGAGAATCGAAAACTCACTTCCTCTCGTCGACGAAATGCTTCTTGAACAATTGCAGCCTCCGTTCCTTCACCTGCTTGCAAATTTTCAAATACCCTCTGAGGAACGGCCTGAGGATGGGGATGAAATCTCCATAGTTGTATTCGAAGCTCTGAGCCAATCGGCTTCTCTCTCCGTTCAAGGCCTTGAGCTGAACGAACAATGGATCGTCTTCACTCTCAAACCTTCTGTCGAACATAATCCTGTACATGTTATTGTACATCATCAGCTGAAGCCTCTTCCTCAACACAACCCCCTTCGTCGCGGCTTCGGGATTCTTCTTCATATCCTCAACCACGCACGCTGCTTCGTGCTCCCAGCCCTGCCGATTCTGCTGCACAACCTTGTTGGTGAAGAAGGGGACCGTCATGATCCGCCGCATCTTCCGCCAATGCTCGCCGTAGACGGTGAACACCATGTCTTGTCCCTTCCCGGTGAAGATATCGAAGACGACGTTCCTCGTTCTGGACCCGAACTCCACACCCTGCGTGTGGAGCACTTCCTTCGCCAGATCCGGCGACGATACGACGGCGAGATTCCTCTGGCCCATACGGAGGAGAAAGATATCGCCGAACTTCCGAGCAAGATCGGTGAGGTTGCGATGGTTGAGATCATCTCCGACTTGGAGCCAGTTTCCGAACACCGGAACCGGCAATGGACCCGGAGGAAGCTTCAATTTCTTGCCGCGGAGCTTGGAAATGGCGATCGCGAGTACCACAGCGAAGAAAACGGCGATGAGACTCTTCTCCAGCAAGAGAAGGTCCATTTTTTCAGAGATTCTTTTTTCCAAAGAGAGAACTTTATCGAGAGAAGGCTCAGAGCTAGAAGCAGATATGGCTGCTGAAGAACATGGGTGGGTGGGGGGGGGAGACGACTTTTTAAAGAGAGCGGGAGGTAACGGCGTTAGGTGAGAGCCGTCAGTATGTAGACTAAAATTTCTTACACCGTTAGATTTGACGGAATGGCTGGGGGTAGGTAGGATGAATTGGGTTGGTAAGCGAGAGGTGCTTAATGTCAAAACTATATATGAATCATAACCTCTAATCTTTTATTTTATATGTAATTATCGTGGTTTATAAACTTTTAAAATAATTTATAAATGGATTAGTTGGGGAATGACGATTATTTTAATCTCGTCCGTACATTTTGTGTTTGGACAAGATCTTATAGTTTATTTTTTTAATTAAGTTTGGTCGAGCGTTATAATAAGTTCTATTGGTTTATTTTATAGATAAAAATCATATCAATACTAAATAAGCTATTCTTATTTTAATAAATAAATATTCTTATTTAGAAATAATATTTCATGATATTTTAAGAAAAATATTTTAATTTGACTTCCTTTTTTGGTTATTTGTTGCCAAGTTTGGGTCCATTTATTTCATCTATATTAACTTTTTTTTTTCCGATAAAATTGAACCACCAATCTAATGTTTCATTTCACCGCGGCTTATACTTTCTAGCGTTTTTTTACTGTTGCTTTGATATGTAGTTACAGTGAAAGTAATAACGCTAATTACGTTATATCTTCTTCAAAATTTATTTTAACAACCGTCAATTTATTTTTTGTCTCATTTCATTTGAGCTTTTTAAAGTGTGACAAAAAATAATAACAAATGACAATTAAAGAATAATAATACCTACGACCAGCTACAGTGAACGATGCGAAGAAATGGATCTACGCCCAAAGTCCACCAAAAAAAACAGTAGGCTCTTGGGAATGAAATGACGACTAAGACCATGTTTGTCCACGTCACCATCGACACGTGGCGCCTCAGAGTTGCGTTCTACAATATATGATAAGATGGGCCTTTAAAAGCAGAGGCCCATACGATGTTTTTGTGTGTGTGTGTAAAGAGGCCCATACAATGCTGGACGTACACACATGTACCGTCGATGTTTGGAAAAGATCCGAAGAGTCAGAGGGACCGTCAGTCGTCAACCGTCGAGATCTCCGAAGGAGTTCTTATTCGCGTCACGCCTTCTGCAGATCCGGTTTTATCTCTTCTTTTTCCTTGATCTCAAAATTTCCCTTCTCTTTTCTCTGTCGTTTTTGGATTCTACACCGATTCTGTGTATCAGGTCCGACGAATTCGGCATAATGAATTAATACATATCAATATTATTTGAAAGCATCATGGATATCCCTCCCTGATTCTTCTGCATATCAGAAATATACATCTTCATCTTCGTCAGCTCCGTCCTCAACGCTTCATTCTCCTTCGCCAACGATACGTCCGTCTGCAACTGCCCTCGAATGGCTAAGCCCTCGGGCTGAAATGCCCGTCCGAAGTCTCAAGTACCCGTCTTTGTAATGATCCACAGATACACTCAGCTGCCGGATGGCCTCTCTCTTCTGCTCGGCCATCTCTAAGGCCGCCGCCCTCGTTCTCTCCGCCTCCTCCGCCAGCTCCTTGGCTCGTCCTCTTAGCCTCACCTGCTCCATGTGCAGCTCCTCCAGGTGCTTCCCCATTCCCTCCATCTTCCTCTCTCTCTCCCTGACTCCTTCTCTCATACCAGCAATCTCTCCTCTTAGCCCATTGTTCTCCTCTCTTAAGTTATGGATGATACTCTTCCTTTCAGCCATTTCAGTGTTCAGCTTCTCGGTTTCTCCCGTGAGTCTCTTCTCCATCTCGGCTTTCTCGTTGGCCATTCTCCTTACGTCGTCCTCCATCGAACGCCCACGCGACTCCAGCTCTTTCAGTTGCTCCCCCAAAAGGGTTCGTTCTTCCAGCAGCTTCGACATCTCGGCTTTAATCTGAGCCTTCTCCGGGAAAATCTTCTGTTCTGCATCGGAAACCGCTGTTTTCAGCGCCCTGATCTCGTAATCTTTGTCTTGTAGACTGGTTTTCAACATTGCTATCCTCTCCTGCAACTTTGTCACTTCCCTTTTCTCTGCATTGAGCTTGTTCTTGTAGGAGGCGGCCTCCCTTTGAGCCGACTCGAGCTTATATTGAAAGCTCTGAAGCTTCTCGTTACTGATCTCGAGCTCGTTCTTCAGACAAGAAGTCTCTTCCTCGAAATGCAGGAGCTTCTCTTTCGCTATCCTCAGCTCTTCCTCGAAGAACTGAACCTTTGATGAGGCTGCATCTTCAGTCACCTCTCTATCCGAATCCAGACTCCCTTCATTGAGGATTTCAGAGGATTTGCAATTGCAGCTCTGGAGCTCAATCTTCAGCTTTGAAATCTCTTCTTCATAGATCTGAAGCTTCTCATTAGCTTCTCTAAGCTCTCTCTCGTACATGGCAACTTGATCACCGACAGCGTTATCGCTATTGAAACCACCTGCTGAGACATCTTCATTGACTTCCTGTTGCATGAGGAGCTTCTGTTTTGTCTCAGAAAGCTCAAGCTCCAGCTCAGCTATCCTCCGATTCAACACCTCGTAGTCATCAGAAACCGATCCTGATTCAGAATCAGAATCGGAATTGGAAGCTGAATCTGTCAAAGATGAAGACTCTCCCTCATTTTCGGGGCTGTGACCAGGCTCAGGCTCAGGCTCAGGCTCAAGCTCAGGCCGACCAGATTGACGTCGACTCAGACTATGGAGTGAGCCCTCCGAATCAGGCTCAGAAGGAGGAAGGTTCTTGCTGAGTTCGCGGGTGACATGATCGTAACGCTCGGCCAAGGCACGGTACATGCGGTAGAATTCCTCGACGAGGTGGATCAGATCAGGCCTCTTCTGGTAATACATCTGAGCCTTTTGGGCAAAAGAGTCGGCATCTTCCTCAATCAGCTTCAGCATGCGGTTCACACTGTCGTCCATCTCTGTCAAAAACCCAAAAACACCATGGAAAAAAAAAGGGACGTTAACGAAGAGATTTGGTGATGTGAAACAGACGAAAGAGGGAAACGCGGTAATTACTCTCGAGATTCTCTGCAAGCCATCTTGAATTCTTGGGGCTGATGTGACTATTCCACCACCATGAGTGTGATTTCTTTGTAGCAGACCTCCTGAACTTTCCCTTGGCATGATGAGCCTGAATTGGAGATGATGTTCCAATCATTACAGATCAATGGGTTCTTTATTGCAATGAATTGCAGATATTATAAGCAACTGGAGAGAGCAAACATGTTCAACAAAGGGTTCAAAGTTCTTACCGTAGAAGAAGCCATGGCTGCTGAGGAGCGGAACACTCAGAAACGAATTCGAGAATTCCTTCAATCTTTTCCCGGAAAAAAGGAAAAGGGAAATAGTGGTTGATATTCAAGAGCAAGATTCGAGCTTCTGGATTCAAGATGATATTGAATTGACGAAAGGGATTCGGACAAACTCGAAGAGACAACAAGACAAAAACAGAAGACACAGGTGGCGGAAGGAGACGCGAAGCTGACGAGAACCAATTTACCACAAATTTCTCGAAAGTACAGAGAATTCAACAATTACCCACTTCGAAGAACTGTGTAATGGATAAAGATGAAGTAATAGAGAATCGTATGATTACCAGAGGAAACAGACAAAAAGTGATAAAGGATCGTGAAAGCTTTACCCAGATGCCCAAAAGACAAGACAAAAAGCTTCGACTTGAGAAGTGAAGGACCGGACCCAATCCAATGCCCCTTTTTATCGTGTCCGCGATTTCGATGATAAATCTCTCTCTCTCTCTCTCTCTCTCTCTCTGTATTAAAAAAAGACTTGGGTGTCTGGTTTCTCACATGGAGATCAACACGCGGTTCCTGTCTAAAGTCAATACGCTTTCTCCACACGTCTCGTCGTTGAGCTGTGTGTGTGAGAAGAGAAAATAAGTAACCATACCATACTCCGCTTATTTTAATCTATTTCCTGGCGATTTCTTGAAGAGACGGCGTATCAATAAATAATTAGGTCATGAGATCAGAAGAGCATTAATGGCGGTTCATCTGCACACTCCAGAATCTGCATGTGGTTCCATTTTTCTCCCATCTCTCACAACACTGCCACCAAATCTCAATTGTTTAATGGGTCATTCTTGCCTCCAGATTTTATTCCCAGATCAGGTCAAAGAGAGAGAGAGAGAGAGAGAGAGGTCACCATTACAACCTGTCCTCAGACCAGCCTTCTTGAAAGCTAAAACAAATCTGTCTTTCTTGATTCAGATTTGTTTCTGGGTCGGTCTAGAATTCCAGAAATACGAACGCGTTTCATAAAATTCTCAACAAGAATAATGTGGTACATCATTCTCTGGCACACGCCACAGCAAACAGCAGACAGACAACAACCTTTGGCTTCATGGTTTTTTTTTGTCTTCGAAGCCATTATGTTATAAATATTCACAGTTCATCACACCATTGTAGCAGCTCTCAAATTTCTTACAATTTCTCCAAGATGGGTTTAACTTCTAACCCATTGCATACTTCTGCGTCCAGCTCCGAGCAGTGGTCTCATACTTCGCTCTATCGGTCTTGTACATGTGAGCAATCTCAGGCACAAGAGGGTCGTCTGGATTCGGATCTGTCAACAACGAGCATATGGACAGAAGAACCTGCACAAACGGAGCCCTCTGCTTTATCACCATTGCCACATTCAGTCGAACAAGATGATTCCTTTAATCAACAATGAAGGGGGGGCAGCTATAACAAACATTGGATATCGTTAGAGCAGGACTCCATTGTTCTTTGAGAATATCCAGGCATATACTCCCGTTGCTATTGACATTCGGGTGGAACACTTTCGTCCTAAATGCAACCTGTATCAACAGAAATTCCCAGGGACTCGAGATTGGAAGGAGAAATGATTGACGCATTCAACGGTTTCCAGTTTCCTTGATAACTAGCATCTCTTAGATGAAACAATGGCATGGTGTAACTGAAACGGATACAGTATTGTCATCAAACAACAGATATCCCAACACATACACACAATGGGTAGGTAATTATGAAAGAAGTAAGATTGAAGAACGTATGTAAGTAAGCCAGCAATGACAAATTCAGACAGAGCAGCAGGAATGTCCAGATCAAGAAGACGTTCCCCGTCGTAAGTGAAGGACGGTACGAGGAGATCGTCAACAGTCACGTGCTCTAGGACTGAAGAGATGCGTTTCTCGAGCTCGTTCTTGCAAGAAGACGAGGCGTTGAGGAAGATGGAGCAGCGGAGGAGGCAGGAATCTAGACAATCGCACGAGAATGTATGCAGAATCTGCAGATGCCAGCCACGAAACCAGTGTTCCTAAAATGCTAACATTCCAACTGCAAGTATCGATAAGGTTCGCAGACTTGTGTGTATCAGTTACAAAAAAAACATCAATGACAATTGCCTTGTTTAACTGTCAATCCTCCATGGATTGTACTTATGATGATAAGGTTAGTCTCTCACAAATGGCTATAAAAGTACCTTTGGCGGCTTGAAGGGATAATCAGGAGGAAAATGAATAGAGATTAAGAAGACGCCGCCGGCATAAGGGCTATCAGAAGGTCCCATGATCGTTGCCTGCCAATGAAACATGTCTTCTGCCGCCGGACCTGCATCGCAATCCCAGCATAACAAAACCCTTTGTCACAAAAACCAAGAATTCAGCCAATAAAGGAACCACCTAAATATCCAACAGAGAAGAAAACAGCAAACGAATATGAAAAACCATGAAAGTGCGAATCTTTCAGCATGTTCTGAACTATAACCCTCCTTAAGGAGGAACTCCGATGGCAAAAGCCAAAGGATTTACGGGCTTTGACTAAAACCCACCGACATAACAGAGAGAAAGGGGTTGGAAAGAAGGCATCATGACCCATTAGATGTGGATATCAATCAAGCGAGAGAAAAGATGAAAGCTTGATCTTGTAGAGGGACATACCGGCACTGCAGGAGGTAGGAGGATCCTTCTGAAGATCCTTGAGCTCCTTCAGAATGCGTTTGGACGCCATAGTTCAAGCGGATCTTCAGTTCAACCAAATTTCCACCAAAGCAACAGACAAAAAATGAATACCCACAACGCGAAGTACGGAGACAAAACACGGAACCAACCTTCAGAGAGAGAGAGAGAGATGTGGAAGAGGAACTTACCCAGAAGGGACGAGAGGCAGAATCACAGATGGAGGTTGTGGAGAGAGCTGCGAGAGGGGAAAGGGGCTTTTCAGGGTTCCTTTCCTTCCTTTAATCGCAATTCATCGCGCACAGAGAAAGGTGGACCGACGCATCGGCTTTCTAGAATTTTCTAAAATCTCTTGGGAGAGGGAGTTGCGAAACGAAATCTAAAAATTAAAAGTGCGATTGACAAATTCACTTTGTTTGATGATCGAAGAACGTATAGAATAAAATAAAATTACAAAAAACGATATATTATTAAAACTTTTAGTGAAATTTGATTTTAATTCACCATTCTACATTCCCTTCGATGAAGCAACTAATGACATCTCTTGAAATGGGCCTTGAATTAACCCCAACAAGGCCCGTCTAACAAACATTTTGGGCTTTACTATATTGGGTCAATTTCGTCAACAAGAATCACGAGCATGACGTCATCGCTTGATGAATACGTCAGCATGATGAAAGATCGACGTCACCCATTCATCATCACGCATCTAAAAAATTAAAAGATACTTGAGACATGAATATAAACAGAGTATTTAGCTTAATCACTCGGTTACATAAACAAAAAGAAAAGGATCAAGGCACAGATTTCCTTGTCGGTATTACAACTAACGGCAGAAGTACTTCAAACATACAGCGTCCATAAAAATAAAAAGAAAAAAAGAGCACACTAGTCCAAAGACTCTGAACGCACTAGAGGCTTAGTCAGCCGTTCAAGAAATGGAGAACCTTCTTCTCCTGGGCTTGGTAATGTCGACTCCACCGGCATCATCTAAGTTCAAAGTATCTTTAGATCCTTGTCGGAACGGATTCAGCTTTCCAAGAGTCTTGGAAACCGACGAGAAGAACGTGTGTTTGCTCTTCTTGCTCGAAGAAGAAGCTCCAACTCCTCCTCCCTGATTCTTCTGCATATCAGAAATATACATCTTCATCTTCGTCAGCTCCGTCCTCAACGCTTCATTCTCCTTCGCCAACGATACGTCCGTCTGCAACTGCCCTCGAATGGCTAAGCCCTCGGGCGCGTCTCTTTCCTCGACGCCACTCCTCAGCTTGAGCTGGTCGTAGTAGAGAGCGTGAAGCACGATGTTTACAGGTAAACGCTTGTTCTGTGACGCGTGGAGGCGAGCTTCGTAAGAAAGCTTCAAAGGGTCGATGGAACTGCAGACTTTTTCGCGTTCGATCTCGTCGAGATTCGGGTGAGATTTCAGGAATATGTCGACCGCCCGGTAGAGGTCGTCGTCCACTTTTCTCGCGGATTTCGGGACGAGATTCGCGATCCCGTTGAACTTGGAGATGCTTAGTTCGCCGTACGTTGCTATCTCTGCCAAGTATGCGTCCACTGTCTTTGCCACTGTCCGAAGAGAAGCAGAGCAAACCCCTCTGAAATCTCCGCCATTGAAGACTCCCACGCTCTTCTCCTTCTCAACAAACCCAGAGATTATCCTCCTCACGCTGTCCAGATCAAGAAGACGTTCCCCGTCGTAAGTGAAGGACGGTACGAGGAGATCGTCAACAGTCACGTGCTCTAGGACTGAAGAGATGCGTTTCTCGAGCTCGTTCTTGCAAGAAGACGAGGCGTTGAGGAAGATGGAGCAGCGGAGGAGGCAGCAGAGGAAATTGATCGGGAAAACGCTCTTTTCGGAAGGTAAGAGAGACACTATTGCTTCGACCAGATCTCTCTGTTGGGTCCTGGTTTCGGAGTCGTCGAGGTCGGAGGATCTGATTCCACGGCCCGTGTGGTCTCGGACAAGTTCTCTCAGAGATCGTTCGGTGTAGGTGATGAGGGCAGAGGCCAAGGTCGAAGCTTTAGCGCCTCTTTGCTTCATCCCGGCTAAGATCTCGGCGAAGAAATCGATGTCCAAGATGCAGAGCTCCTCGGTCCACCAGTTTGGCGGTGATCGGCACGGAAACGTAGCCTCGTTGCAAGCCTTTTTTAGATTTATTTTTTCAAAACAAGATATTAAGATTCAGGAAGTGGCAGAAACAGAGTTTCAGATGCTGCAAGTTGCAGAAGAGAAATGTCGGAGAATTGCAGAAAAGTGGACATATCTGAGAGTCTTTTGCATATTTGAACTAGGAAATACATATATAACTATGTATACGTACATGTGCATGCTATGCAGAAGCAACCAAGCGGTTTCAGAGGGCACAAGACACCGACTAACCTTGGAGCTGATGACGTCGAAGCAGCGCTTGACGATGCCAAGATCTTGAGCCATGGGAAGAAGAAGCTCGCAGGACTTGAGGACGACAACGGCGCCGGAGAGGCTGGAGAGAGCCACCTGAGAAAGGAAATCTTGGGTTCTTCCCGCGAGGTTACTGTCGCAGTATTTGTCGGTCATCTGCAGAAACTCGGCGGCGCAGTGGAGAGCCGCCACGTTCTGGACGGTGATCTCGAAGTTGACGCCATAGCAGAACTTGGCAGCTTTCTCGAACATCTCAGGACCTCCCGGGATGTCGGAAAGATCGATTCTTGTGAGATCTGTGTCTTTAGATTCCATTATCAGCTTTCTGATGTAGTTGCTCTTCGCCACCAACATGAACTGCGACAAAATATAGGCACGTGGCCATGAAAGAAACCATCACTCATCCGTCCATGTACGAAAGGGTACCTTCCATGGAGATGGAACAGAAAGGGTACCTTGTGAAGCGAGAAGTTGGCTTCGCAGACTTCAACGACGACATCAGTGGGAATGTCCTGAGAGAAAACCCTGCACAGATCAAATCCACACACACGCATAAATTTATTTCAACGGAAGAGTTTGGTTATGGCGTTAGAGCTGAACATACTGAAAGACATACCACTGATCGGTTCTTTCCATGGCCGAAGACATCATCATGTTGATGGGGTTTCCTCCATTTGCCATCGTCTCCCTCTCTCTCTCTCTCTCTGGGTGATGAAGAAGATGCAGGTGGAGAGGCGTCTATAAATGGAATGCAAAGTAAGGCGTCAATCATATGGACCCATCAATTAAATTAACTCTCCGTTGATGATTTGTCTTGTTGTTTTATTTGTCGTTACGTGATGCCTCGTTATCCCTTAATTCCATCTTCGTGAATGGTCCATTAGTTCCGCCCCTTTTTCACTTTTTCCATGCCCTATTATTTTTTATTAACATGGAAACATGTTATCTTCGTGTACACGTTGTATAGGTAAATCTCATCCCACACCCACGCTCCCGTAACATATGCATGGGGATTTAAATTGGCCGTAATCGATGTAGATAAACTAGCAAGGAATCGAACCCACGACTGATTATAGATATACATATGTATATATATAAGTGCATGTTTGTATACGTATATAAATATGCAATTTTTTTAGTGTGAATTTGTATACAGTAATTGATTGATGATAAAAAAAAGCCGTACGTGACAGGTAGGTAACAACAGTGAAAGGGGAGAGGGGTCGGAAGCATGTGACGGAGCAGAAGAGACGAGGTTTGTCTCCGGAAGTGACGTGTCTCTCTGTCCCTGCAAAACGAGTGGCCGTCGTTTCACCTCCCAAAGCCGTGGGTGCCGATTCTCCACGTCACCACCCCAGAATCTGTACTAACTTTCCTCTACTCCAATCAAATCCTTCCACGTGTCCCTATCGCTTCTCTCGGACAGGATCACTGCTTGCATGGTAGTTTCCGCTCCCACAAGAGCTTGAAGGTGCGTGCATGCATGCATGCGATGAATCCTTCTAATCTCTGAATTTATTAGTTTTATAATATTTATTTTTGAAAAAACTCTATCATTGAATTAGTCATTGATAAAACGCTTGTCATGGTATAATACGGTATTTATTGCGTAAAGAAATACGGGAGTTGTACACATTTATGTATATGTATGTTCATGGATAAGATACGATGGACAAATGGAGATTGGTATCTCCTAATAGTGATATTTAATGACCCTTGGGGGAAGATGAGGGGTTGTAGTCGGGATGACGTGGAAAATGGGCTCCGGCAAATGCGGGCTTTGGACCAAGTGGATGAATCTCATTGGCCAAGGCTTTAAGTGTGTCGGGTCCTCTGTAGTTATATCCATTCCCATCGATGGCTCCTTTTCAAATCGGGCCCCAACTGGACCGACGTCACGTTATTATTATTCAAATAAAAATCATTTTCACTATTTAATATCCATTGTGTTTGCACCATTCATTCTTTTATTTATTTGTTTTTAATCTTTCCTTTCTGGATATAATATTTTCATTCGAATAAAAAGGGCTTGCTGCTCTTGGACTTTCTACTTTGCACTTCGAGGTGCTTTCTTTCTTTGTAAATGATTTTTTAGTTTTTTTAATTTGTATCTGAATTCTAAATAAAATAATAATTTCATAATTATCGGATCGCAATACTTAACAATTAACATCTTTTGAAAATACTATTTTCTCTCTATTTTGTTTCTCCCTATGACGTTAACCATTTTTTGACTTTTACCATTTTGGTGAAATAATAATAATCATAATAATTTATTATTATTATTATGATTATGATTATGGCGAGTACCAAGATTTAGAAAACCGGAAAAATGTTTGAACCGGACCGACACGTCAGGAGTGAGTGAACAACTGGCGTTGACGCGGAAATTATGGCAACATCTCCAAGGATCTGAAGAAACTCGTCTGAGAAATGTTCGTTCGAAAACCCTAGATCGACGAATTGACATCGCCTTGTGCTTGGCCGATGCTTGAGATCGATGAGTGTCACAGCAGTAGATGAAGATCGACGGGAGCGAGAATTTCAGGTTTGAGGAACTCGCGGATCTGGACATGGATTTGGAGAAGAAAGCGATGACGTCGGAGAGGTCATTTTCATCTTCGTCTTCATCGTCGGAGACGCCGTCGCTAGCGGCGAAGGCCATAAGAGCGTCTTCGGCTCACAGAGATTCTTCTCTTTCCTCTGCCTACTCCTCTCCCTCTCCCGCTCGAGCTCCTCCCATGGTTCATTTTATTCTTTTCCCCTTTTTTCGATTCTGTGTTTGCTAGTATTGGATGATGCAAGTGTTCGTTTATTTTCCTTGTGGCGTATTCGGGATGCCTAATATTGCGTATGAAATTCATTTTGTTTGAATTCGAACCCTTTTGTTTGGGCTTCCGTCAGTTCGAATGTTTAGGATGGTTTCTGGGTTACTCTGTGTGCTTCGTTTGAAATGTTTCGTTGTTGAATTCTCCGGTATATCTCGTAATTGCAGTTTGCTTCTTCAATCGAACAAGAGGTGAAGCCCCATGAGTACACGTCCATGAAAAGTTTGAACGAACCAAAACGGAGCTTCTGGGGAACTTTGGCCAGCAAAGCCAAGGCTCTTTTGGATGAGGACGACCCAAACATACCGTCTCAAAGTCCCTCCAGAACGCCGCAAGACATGCCTTCCCAGGCTTTAGGAACTAAGGTGAAGACTACTCCAGAAAGTTTTGTCACAATGTCACATTCTTCTTGGGACACGACTCTTTGTTCCCTGTCACATGTGTTTTCCTATTTCCCCTGCAAGATGCAATCTTATCTTGTTGAAATTGGAATTTGAAATTCTTCTGTTCCAGGAAGCCAGTAAGATGGGCAAGAAAGTTGAGAACCATTCATTGCAGAGAAGCTTAGATGCAATCACATCATCCTTAAATTACATCGGAGGCACAATTGGTAGCGTGGTCGAGGTTAGTTCCTTATTAGCTGTGTACGTGCGTTCCTTGCCGCCTATACGATTTTGGTTTGCAGGGATGCCTGTCTGTTCGTTGGATATACATCCATTTATTTCTTGCTTTACTTCTGCAAATGCATGCATGTAATGAGGCATGCGTATTCATTTCTTCTTTCTGTACTTCCCCTTGTTGTCTTTACCATGTTAACAATCTTGTTCCTGAAATTATGTGGTTTCCCTTTTTTAGGAGGGTTTTACAGTTGTGGAGAACCGTACTGCGGGTATCATTCAAGAGACGCGTAAAAAAATCAAGAAGAAGCCAGGAAGTGGTTCTGTTTCACGGAATCAGGCTGTGAAACAATCTCAGCCGAACCAGCAGAATTCCCAGACTCTGACGGACTTAGAGATTCAACTAAAGGCATCTCGCGACGTAAGGTGGCAACTCTGTATCATTGGTTCAACAGCAAAAACATGCTTACATCTGTTACCCCTATTTCTGATATCATTTCTGGGTTCTTGAATTTAGTCTTCTGCAATCGTAATTATTTAACCGTAAAGCCTCAAAAAGGTGTCAGATATTCTGGTAAATAAATGGCTTTGTTCAAATCATATTCTGTGAGATAAGGGTTCAAATCATATTCCATGTATAAAGCTAAGAGTGGGCCTTTCTCTTTCTCGCTGCATCTGCTGTTGTGTCAAGATAAAATCATGATGTTCCTGCAAATTTGTCTGTCAGGTTGCAATGGCCATGGCAACCAAAGCAAAGCTGCTTCTCCGGGAGCTGAAGACAGTAAAAGCTGACCTGGCCTTTGCAAAGCAACGATGTGCCCAGCTGGAGGAGGAAAACAAGGTTCTTCGAGAGAGTCATAACAGAGGAGACAGCCCAGAGGATGATGATCTGGTACCGAATGTTATTTCCATCCCTCTACTGGTTTCGCTTTCTTCCAATTTGATATCATAGATCTTCCAAGAAAACACAAAATCAATCAAGAACTAACTTGATCTTTTGCTGTACCTAATGCTCTGTCTCCTGAATCTTGTGTGTTGCTCGTATAGATACGACTTCAACTCGAAACACTGCTTGCAGAGAAGGCTCGGTTGGCTCACGAGAACTCGGTATATGCCCGGGAAAATCGGTTTCTAAGAGAGGTAGTTGAATATCACCAGCTGACAATGCAGGACGTTGTCTACTTGGACGAGAAGACCGAGGAAGTAACAGAAGTATATCCCGTTAAAGTCACTTCAGTGTCCAATGTCGCTCCACCAGAATTCACAGAGATTTTCCCCACTCCTCCAAACTCCAAAGCCAAGGAGCCCAAGTAACAAAAAAAAAAAAAAGGAAATCTCATTGTTCTGTTCTGTTCTGTTCGGTTGGAGTTGCAATTCAGACAACGTATTTGTCTGTACTCGTTACTGTACCTGTAGAAATATGCTTTTAAAACTCTCTTTAAAAAAATGTTCTGCCTGCTTAATGTTATATAGTTATGTCCTTATGGCTTGTCCACGAATCTCATACTTTCGTCATGTCAAATAATCATACGTATGTATATACTGACTGCATCAAATACAATTTTACACTTGCCCCAGATTACACAACCAGCAATGGAACTACATGTAACAGATTACAAAGCTGAAGTCTCTCTCTGCTTATTCAGACCAATCTCCATAGTTAGTAGCTTTTGAACCCCACATTTGACACAAAGTTAGCCTGTGATGGTTTTGACCAGAGGAACCAGAGAGCCTCTTAGGTGGAGAGACATGACTTCATTGGTCGAGCCGATGAGTTTGCCGCCGATGAAGACGGCTGGGACCGGCGTGGAACAACCGATCCTCATCAGGGCCTTCTCGATTTCCCGGCAATCGGGGTCGGTGTCGATCTCGTGGACCGTTGGATGAACCCCTATATCTTGGAAGAGAACTTGGACAGCGTAGGACAGACAACACGAGCTCTTGCTGAATATAACCACCCCTTTCTCCGACGACATCCTCATCACCTTGTCCATTTCTCAACGAAATTAGGGTTGGTTTCTTAGAGGAAGAAGTAACGCTAGAGGTGGTTCTTCTTTTGCAGAGGATTAGAACTGAGAACCCATGATAGCAAACCTGGGTCTGAACTCAACCAACCAAACCGAGGTTTCGAGTTTCAGGTAGGTGAGTTGTATTGCTTGATGTGGTATGGGAATTCAATGGCTCCAATACCACACTATATATATATATATATATGCAGAAGAAGGAAGAACAAGAATCCTCTGTCTCAGAGAGAGATAAAAGTTGAAAAACTTTCGGTAGGTTCCAAAATGATTCGCTCGGGACAGAACATTTTTTCCTGTCTTGGTGTTGTCAGGAGACCGACAGAAATTTGCTGATTTGATATTTGCTTTTTCCAGTAAGATACCGAGATTAGCATTTTGATAGAGCATACAATCTTGTGTTGTTTCTGCTTAAACTTTGTTGCAGAAAGAAAAGAAGCATAATGTATGGATGGGTATTGGTTCATTTTATGGACCATTTTCTGCAGATGCTATAAGAATATTGGACTTGTACAGGGCAACCCGGTACACAAAATATCCCGTACGAAGATCCAGAAAGAGATCCCACCATAAGGGTGTATTGTATGCAACCTTACATTGCAGAAATATTCTACAAGAGGTTTTTTGCAGAAAACGAACCCGTGACCTCTAGTTACAACGGCAACACCGGTTAAGGTGTGTCAAAGCTCCCCTACTGGCCTGTTAAAAAAAAAAAGAATTTGTACCCTATAATCTTTGTGACCAAACTGAATCTTGACCAGTTGTTTTCAAAAGATATGGTTGTCTTTCTTATATTCCTTCAATCCCGTTGGCAAAAAAAAGAACAAAAAGCTATCTTTGGGCAGTGATAAATGAACGATGGAATAATATATCGGATTCTTAAAAGGCCATGTTCCTTTCCACAAGTTGCCAAATGATTCTTCAGGCCTCGTCGTATCAGAAGAGAATATGAACAGTTTTTGTCTGAAATCAGAACTGTTAGATGGGTTTATTTGAAAAAGGATTTTCAATAACATTTTACAAGCAGATTGAAATTCTATCATTTTGTGTTCTATAAATCATTTATACTTTTACCAAAGTGCGTAAACTCGAAAGCATGTGTATGTTCTTGCTTCTTCTTCACTTGTGTCTTGACTCTTGATGAGACTTTACACAGTTCAGTTTCCGACTTCATCTCTGTGTTGTGTGTTTTTATCATATTCGCATGTGTATATATATATGACCCAGATGTTTCTCTTGTTAACCCATAACCGGTCTGGGCTATAGATGGAGGGCCTTCACCAGTACGGTATTATTTGGGGTATTTTATTCAAATGATCCATTTCATCGAAGGTGTGACAGTCTAGATATACGTAAAAGGATGAATAGTGATCGTTGGTGCAAGAGGCACAGACAAGGAGCGGCTCCTAACGAACTTCTAGGTAGGAGGTATAGGGATGTGAATGCACCATGAGAGAGACTCCAGGCCTGTGTAGGTATAAGACTATACAGTCAAAAATAAGTTAAAAGAATTGATTGAACAACTCATAGGAACAAGATGTCATCTCAAGAGAATTCCAAAGTTGAGCGTTCTCGTTTTAGAATAGTTTTAGGATGAATAAGTTCTAGAGAAGTACTTTACGGGATGTGTGCGAATGAGGACAAAGCACGCTAAAAAGATTGTGTTGGTGTGGGTAACAGTTCTATTATTCTGTAACAATCCCGAGTTGTTACAGCAAATATTTCACAGGTACACCACCAAAAAGTGAGTTTTTTTTTTTGCAATTTATACACCACTTTTCGGGCAAAAAATCCAAAAGAATTTCTCTTATATTTTTTATGACCTTTATTGTGAGTAATATATAACTAATATACGACTAAAATAACAAATATTTATGATCGTATAGGAGGTGAAAATGTCAAAAAAACGTGATTATTTTTTAAATATAACAAATGAATTTTTTATCGTTTCATTTAAAATTAATTACAACTATATTTAAAATTAATTATTATATTGTAATGATTATGGTCTTTTCAGAAAGAATTTAATACCCTATGTTTTTTTTAGTCCACCCGTAAAATATGTGCGACGTAAGTGGATGATAATGTTCATTATTCGGAGTTGTGACAGTGACAGTTACAGAGAAAATTTCACATATAATATATAATATGTAAATTAACCATATCCGTTTTTTTCTCACATAAAAAATGCCTGTTAAATAAATATGATATACTTATCTTTTCTCAAGTTATTTTCGATTTAAAATAACATGTGTGTATATGTCTAGTATCTGTTAAATATGATAAACTTATTAAGATTCTAATGTGTGTGTGTATGTACATACTGTCCACTAAATATACGAAATACGAAGTGTCTTATATCTTATCTACATTAATATTATCCAATAACTAAAATTATAAGATTGTGATGTCACAGCAGCCACATGGCATATAGCGTCCGAGGGACGTGAATGGATTTTTTTATCTCATATTGGAGATTACGTGTAAATGCAATTAATGGGCGGTTAGATTTTTCCTCAAAATTCGTTAATCAACATTATAAACGTGCCCAATTTGTTTTTTCAACATTGAAATTATAATAGATCGACCGACGGTCCAACGCGTTCAATGTTTTTGAGAACCTCAAGTCCAAGAACATGCATTCTCTCGAACACCGTGACATGATTACACATATTTCATATTAACTTTCATAATGTGACAACAAAAATTTCATGATTTTTCAGGTTTATTTTTCTTTTTATGTAATTAAGAAATGTAGAGTTGGTCCAAAATTCTAAAGTGAACATCTTTTGAATATTCAAATCAATGAAAAAGAAAAATAAAGTAAATGTTGGAGAGCCAAACACCGCAGGATATTCCCTTTTTATCATAATCATTATGGCACGTATAATTAATATAATATACATATGCATTATATTATATTATATGTATATTTATCCATTTATATAAAAGCACTTGCTCCGTGTAGAACTCCCACGCTCTCTGATCAACAATGGCGACTTCTCTATCCCGCAATCTTCTTCACGCCAACCCCACCTCCCTCAGTAACCACTTCTCTCCCCGTACATCTCTGTTTCCGGACAACACGACCATCAGCTTTTCGTCGAGGTCCTCTGCCGGAGTCGCCGCGAAAGCTGTCTCCAGGACTGACGAGAGCTCGCTCTCCGCCGTAATCTCGACGAGTATCTTTAGAT